ATATAATAATGATTATATAATATAATATAATATAATATAGTTGTAATTTTTAATTATATTATAACTGAAATATTAATATTTTTTATGTAATATTATAATATTTTTATAATATTATAATTATATTAAGTATTTTAATAATAATATTATATTCTATATTATAATGATATAATATATTATATAATAATAGTTTTTTTATTATATTAAATATAATATTAAATATATATTATATTGTAATTATATATATTATATTATAATATAATATAATATAGTCGTAATTTTTAACTATTCTCAACAATTCAACCTCATAATTTACCAAACGCTATTACAATAATTTTGGAACCAGCACAGCTAGTATAATTATAGTTTACCAAACACTCAGCTGCTTTTTATAACAGTTGTTTCTTCCTTCAGCACAGTTAAAAGTAATTTTTCTAAAATTTACAACACTACCAAACTAAGCCTAAATGGATAAAAAAATAATCCGGGACAATTTAACAGAGGGCGACTCTAGCACTCTTTTTACTGTTACACTACATCCTTAAATTTACTTTTTACACACTCTTATTATTTTAAAATTACCCTTAACTACTTACATGAGTTTGTTAATTCTTGACTACTACATTTTTCTTTTCACACCCACCATTTTATTTTACATCTTTACTTGAGGGGTTTTTTTTTTTTTTTTTGAAGCTTTTTCTTATGGCTAAAAAAAAATTTACCATTACATTTTTTAGATAAATAAAGGACGTTTACTTAAAAAAATTAAAAAAAAATTAATAGTAAACTTATATATTTTACGTTGCTATTTTGGATCGTGATAGTAAATTTTTTATAGTAAATAACTTTTTTTCTCTAAAATTTTATGTGAAAAAACGCTTCATGCCTAAAGTTTCAACCATAAAAGAAATAAAAACAAAAATAAAACTAGAAAAAAATAGAGAAATAGAGAAATGATAACATTAAAATAAAAAATTAAAATAAAGTGGTACAAAAAAGAAATTGAATCAGTAAGGAATTAGAAATAGTTGAAGGTAATTTTGGAATAATAAAGAAATATAAAACGTAAATTCAATTATTCTAAAATTATATGAGGTGTATATTAAGATGGGGTGTGGTGTATATTAAGATGGGGTGTAGAGAGTCAAAAAAAAAAGTGGTGTGAACCCTTTTAACAAATCTAAAAGCCATTTTGTGTCGTTCAGAAAAATTAAGAGACCATGATTGAATTTGGTCTGCAATTCAAGAACTAAAAATGATATTATCCGTAATAGTAATAGTAGTAATACTAATACTAATACTAATTATAATAATTATAATAATAATAATAATTAATTATTATTATTATTATTATAACAATAATAACCCGGCCCGAGTCGGTAGAGCGACGCTTGCAGAACACAAAGCTGACTAGGAGTGTAAATCGACCGGGTAGGGTAGGGTTGAGTCGAAAATTGAGCTTACTCGATTAGTGCAGGTTGAGAAAATTTTGGGCCGCAACACTCTCTTAAGTCTACAAACCCGCAATCTTTCGGGTGACCTCGGGTAGGGTCGGATTACTCGGGTTAGTGATCTCAAAGACCACATGATCACTTTTTAATCAATTAATCTGTGCTTGTTACAGAAAAAATTATTATCAAACAGAACATGTCTTTTCTTCAAGAATGGTCTAAATGCAAGGTGAACAATTAAAACACTCACTTTGAAATCAAACACTTCCAATATAAATAAAGAATGTCCTAATTCAACAACTATGGCATACAAGCATTTTTTACACAAACCGTAAATTTAAAACATAAATAAGTTAACAGTTTAAATACATAAAGTCTATAAACTTATAAAAGTAAGAATTTGAAGTGTTGGACATTATTTTGGTCCCGTTTATTTCGCTGATTCGAGTTTAGAATTCGAGTTGAGATATGACTTTATGTGAGAGCTTTTTACTGTAATAAAAAAATTAGATGTGATTGTTTGTAAGAGCTTTTTACTGTAGAAAAACTCAAATTCTAAACTCGAATCAGTGAAGTGAACGAGGCCTATACCTACTTTGAATATGTTCGGCCGGATAGGGTTATCTCGGGTTCATGTAACTCCACTCCGCGTCCCTACCCGCGCAGTACAGGTTAGATATAATTAAAACCAAAAATTAAATAAAAAATTAAAAACCCGTAATTTTTGAGTAGGACCGGCTCAGCTCGACCAGGTTCGTCAGAGTAATTTCTTCCGGCCCTAGGCTGACTTTGAACCTTACAAGGGCCGATTACAGTCAGGTTATGTTATCAAAGAGACTTTGTTTTGATGGAAAATTCTCAGTGATCGGACTTCAAATGTTTTACCCAAAATTGGGACGGAAAAAGAAAGAAGAAGAAGAACCAAATCATAAACGGAAAAATAAATTTGTCCGCAAAAGTTCAATTCGTCTGGCATTCGTAGAAATCGAAATCCTTATCATTTCATGGCATCATTTAATTTTCTTTTCTAATTTTTCCGGGAAACCAAACAGCAAGCTCAAAGAGGAACAATTACACGAAGGAAAAAATTTTGAAGAAATTTAATTACCTCGAATGCTTGGACTTCATAACCATGGCGGAGAAGCGAAGCAGACATTTCCAAGCTCAAGTCGCTCAGCCCAACGAATCCAATCTTGGACGCCATTGAAGTGATTCTTCTCTGATCGTAGCTAAGGCTCTGCTCTTTGAAATTTGACCTAGATTTGGAATCGATCCAGTCTGAGTTTCGTATCAATGGGAATATCTAGTAGCCAGTGAAGAACCTTGATATATATAATGTGTGTTTATGTAAAGAAATTTGGAATCGATCCAATCTGAGTTTCGTATCAGTGAAGCAACTTGATATATATAAATATAGGCGAAAGTCTGGGATGGATACCGAATTAAAGCGACACTTATATATTTTTTTTTAAGATATGTATATATTTTTTTTAAAATGTATCTATTTTTTTAAATTGTTTATATTTTTTATATAATAAATATATAATATTTT